GGATTATAGGAATCAATATTGAACTAAAGCTCTCTGAACAATTGCTGAAAATGATAAGAAAAAAATTAGTGGACGAAGAGAATGTTTGCTTTGTTCATATATATTATATTCTGTTTCTGCCCCTGCATTCTTGATCCCCAAGTTCTGGGGTCAATTTAGACTTGTATGCATTTTGCATTACAAGAACATGGTATTAATGAGTGAAGATTATTGATATGTCCCAGTGACAAGCGTCTCTATTTCATAGTTCATTATTTTCAAGCATCCGAGACATGGCCCATTTATGACTAATGAATTTCCCTTAACTACTGTAGCATTTCATTTTTTTTTGCTTGATACTAGATTGCTTGTGAAACAATAATTTATTCATTTCTGCAGACTGTCCGTGTTTGGAAAGAATCCGACAATGGAACCTATGACTGCAGGCACGTTTTAAAGGATCACACGGCAGAAGTTAGTATTGTTTTTTACCCTATCATTGACATTTATATACTTTTGAAATAACTTGTTCTTCTCATTACGGTGTGTGTGTATAGGATGTAGACTTCTGGTATTTCTTTTGATTTGTCTTTTTAATCATGGCTCTGTTGCTAATATAGTGCTTAATAATATATAAGTGCTGATAGTGTGTCTAGTTTTCTATTAATATTTACTTAATATTTCCCAAATTTGGCAGGTGCAAGCTGTCACAATTCATGCAACCAACGATTACTTTGTGACTGCTTCTCTTGATAGCACATGGTGCTTTTATGAATTTGCTACTGGTTTATGTCTTGCTCAGGTTTCACATACTTCTCCTTCCTTCTTTATTATGAATTACTCCCTCTGTCCCTTAAAACTTTGCCAACTTTCCTTTTTGGGACGTCCCAAAAAACTTTGCCACTTTCCCTTTTAATCAATTATTTTTGTGGTCCATGTTATTTCTCTCTCCTCTGCTCAAATCTCAATCACACAGTTTTCACTTTATTATTCTCCGTGCCGGTCAAACGTGTCAAAGTTTTAAGGAACGGAGGTAGTATTGATCATCTGTTCCATTCAGATTTTACAATTGTAACACCTTTTGCAGGCTTCAGATGTTTCAGGAACCGAGAGCTATACATGTGCAGCATTTCATCCTGATGGTCTAATACTAGGAACAGGGACATCAGGTTCTGTTGTAAAGATATGGGATGTAAAGAGTCAGGTTGTGTGTTAGTTTTTAAGGAAATGTATATACTCTTATAACCCAGTTGTCTTATTTTTAGAAGGCGGGTTGTTTTTCTTGATCTTGTTTATGGATATATAGGCACGTGTTACACAATTTGATGGGCACATTGGATCTGTTAACGCAATCTCCTTTTCGGAAAATGGTTATTTCTTAGCAGTATGCATCTCTTTTGACCAAGTTTACTATTCTTTAATAAACTAAATGAATGCTGAAGTAGTGCGCACTGCCTGATTTTGACCCTTTTGCTGTAATGCTGCAAGACTGCTGCTCAAGATGGAGTTAAGCTTTGGGATTTGCGCAAATTGAAGAATTTTAGAAACTTTACTCCATATGATGACAACACACCAACCCAATCAGGTATATAGTACAATGTATGTGTATTGCTGCACATGTTGCCTCCTCTATATTTCGGTGAATATATAGGAAGCTTATGTAACTGCAGTAAAAAAAGATTTGACGCTGTGGAGAAGTACATAGTAACTAGGATCTAGCTTCTTGCCTTATATGCGTTTTGACTATAGTAGTTGTGACGGCTTCTGAGAAAATTACACTTATGCTTCATGTCCCAAAAGATAACACTAAACTACTAATCAGGTTATTTAAAATAGAATGTCTGGACCTTCTGGATAGGATATACATTGTGCTAAAAAAGTTGTCAGCTTTTGTTGGCTGAATATCTCTGCACCTTGTCTTGAACCCTTGATGTGGTAGCTGTTTAATGTTCTACTGAATGTACTTGCGCAAGTCTTAGGAGCTAGCAGGCTCATCCTAAGAACAACGAGCCAAATGATTAGAGAATGGGCTCTCTTTAGATATGGAAAACAAGACAAAGTGGAATGCACAAAAGTCGTCATAATTTCTAGTAATGTTACTATATTGACCATTGTCATATTTATCCTGAATTTGCAGTGGAATTTGATTATAGCGGAAGTTACCTAGCTTTGGGAGGATCTGATATAAGGTAAAGAGCTTGAGTAATGTTGTGTGTATGCATTGATTCTAGTTTCAGTAGTAGTTGTTTTTATCCGTAAAGTCTAGGTTTTCTCCTCAACATTGAAAAAGATAAATACAAGTAGCCACACATATTTATGAACTACTCCCTTCACAAATTCACAACATTTTTTTTTGGGAAGTGTTGAGGTTTTTAAAAAGAAGAACATCTAAACTTTTATGAAAGGCAGGGTGCATGGAGTAGTAGTTACTGGTACATTCTAAATAGTTTTGGAGGAAGCTTTCTTTTGTCTCCGATGCTTGTGTTTAGCACAAGCAGATTCTGCCTGTCTCAATCCCAGATATTTCATCTAACAAGCAGCAGGTTAGGGGTCATGATTGTTGGATCTGAACTGTCTAATCTTGACTGAACCGTTTGACTTGAGAGAAGCACCGGACAAGCACTCGATCTTAATTCAGCTTTTGCAAAAATTAGTAGCTAATATATCAATGTTTACTTCTTTGGCAGAGTCTATCAAGTTGCAAGTGTTAAATCAGAATGGAATTGTATCAAAACATTCCCCGATTTGTCAGGCACAGGTCTCTCTCTCCTCCCATCCCTTAACTAGGCCCTTCCCCTCCTGAACTTTTGAAAATTCTGCATCCTAACAGACCCTTACTGTTTTGTTACTTTTGTATAATTTCAGACCCGTACCATTCTTGTTTTATGTACACAGGTAAATCCACATGCCTAAAGTTTGGTCCAGATGCTAAATACATAGCTGTAGGATCAATGGACCGAAACCTCAGAATATTTGGTCTGCCCAGTAAGGATGGACAGGCAGAAGATTGATCTTGTTTCACTCTAACAGTATTGAAGCTAATGGGACACACCGCGCATATCTGCTGGAGTTGTAGGTTTGGCACATACTGTGGTGTGGTGACGAGTTTGCGGATGCTTGTTTTATCTTTTGATATTGCCCAATATGGAGTCAGATTATCTGTGAAAGCAAGTATAAACCATTAGCACCTTGATCGAAAGCCCGCTATAAGAGTTTTTATTATCTTTTCCCTCACACAATGTAACAACCGCCGTTTTGTGGAATATTCGTGCAAGGATATGGTTGTAATCTACAAAGATGTAGGACAAGTTGAGGTAACCAGTGATGTTTTAGCATCTTTATATTAATTTTGCCTGGACAATCACAACCATGAATCTCATTTTCAGTACATTATTGAAATGCCATGACCCATGAGAAGGTTTAATGGAGTCCAAAACATAAACTGATAATGTTGAATGTCGACGATACATTTTGTTTGAGAGTTGAGACTAATTTTGAAGTCTTCAAAGTAAAAATTCATTAGGTTTATCATTAGCTGAAGGAAAAAACTGGATATCCAGAAGAAAATGACCATCCAGAATCTGGTCTTTCTGCAAAAGGGACCCATGCGTTTGTGGTTATCTTTCTAAAAAATTGCGTATACCGAGTTACTAACTTATTAATGAATTCATCTAAATAAATGTTTCTTTTTTATAATCTACTAGGTGTTGAGCTTGCACCCCCATGACGTAGCAACATTAATCATAGATTATACGGAGTAATAATGTAACGACTAATCATTAATTAAAATATAATAATGTAATGATTTGGTGGACAGATTTTGGGCCACCTAGTGTAGGCGTGGACCGGGACCGGGTCGGGCCAGGTTTGGGCTTAAGAATTTCAGGCCCCAAAACCGGTCCGGTTCTTTACCGGGACCGGGTTGGGTCAAGCCTAAACAGTAGTGGGACGGGCCGGGCTTCGGGATGAGATTGGACAATAAATTACAAAAATAATGCAATCGGACCTGGATCCATCCAGGTCAGGCCCAAAAAACGAGCCCAAAGCCTGCCCCTTATAGCCACCAGGTCGAGCCCCGGACCGGGTCAGGCCTAAACAATATCGGATCAGACCGACCCATACCAGTCCATCCCTAACCTAGCATAATGAAATACTACTTGCTGCAAGAATTGATACGGAGTATTAATTTTGGCGTGTCTAGGAAGAACTTTGAAGAAATGATCCCCTGAATTAGGTATGGACTCGGGCCGGGTGGCCCGACCCGGGACCGGCCCGGGACCGGTAGTGTTCTGGCCCGGCCCGACCCGGTGGCCCGGTCAGTGACCGGTCCGGGTAGGCCCGGCCCGTGGGTTTTCCGGTCCGGGCTCGGGTCACCCAAAACAAGGCCCGACCCGGCCGGGCCCGATTCGGGCCAAAAACAATTTTTTTTTCAATTTTTTTTAAATTTTTGGGTTGGGCTGGGTATTTTGGGCCATTTGGGGTGGTTTGGGGGTTGGGGGTGGGAGGGGGGTTAATTAGGAAGAGGAAAACAAAAAAAAAATTATAATGGACCCGGCCCGACCCGGCCCGGACCCAGTGGTTACCCGAGCCGGTCCCGGGTCCACCATTTCTGACCCGCCGGCCCGCCCGGGCCTAGGCCCGACCCGGACCCGAGTCCACCCCTACCCTGAATTCGACAACTACACAAGCTTTGATTTTTTAGAATTGAATTAAAATTGGACAAAAACAAGTTTTAAAAAGACCTAAAGCGATGGATTTCTACATAGGTAATGTTGCATCAATGTCCAATCTAAAGGCAACTGCGGCACAAAATCACAGTGGCTGCAACTGAATGACAAGAATCACAAGATGTAGTACCTACCTTACTAGGTAGAATGCCCTTTGCTGTAACTCCTGTAAGTTATCACCCGACACAGTACTTTTTCAAAAGATATCAACCAATCACAATGATCAACACAAAGTAAGATGCAAGGTTTGAACTCTAGAATGTGAAGTATAACGATCAAGTAAATAACAGATTGTTTTCAAATGATTAAAAAAGACAGACAAATAATAAATAAACAAATACATATTCAACTAAATAAACAAATATACAACTTCGGAAAATATATGAAGTGTTACATACGTAGTAGTAAATATTCAACATCGGTGATGATTGTTCATCTCCGTATAAATGTAAACATATATGCCAATGGTCAGGTACAGTGGTACACCATGTCAATTACGTTCAAATGACAAAAATTTCTTAGAAGTTCAGACTCCGCTATAACCGAGTCTTTTTTTAATTTTAAAACCAATACAACATGGTCGGTCATATGTAGTTAGTTAGATATGGCATGGTCTTCCAAAAATGAATTATGGAGATGCTCATCAGCAGGTTAATGCTTGTCATCACTGAAGTAATGATGAAGAGACGCCTTCGAATGATGTTCGTTGTGTCTCCGTGATTATGTAGCCACTCTTCAGACTATACAAATTTTCGAGAGGTTGCATCAATCAAAGGTATCGAGATGCATGTCTAAAACCCCAAAGCTGCAGAGCGGTGAAATGGGAAAACAATAGTCAGTTACCACTAATAGACCATCACTGTAAGAAGATCTAAACTATCCTAATGTGATCAGGTAAATAACAATAAGTTTATTAAAACATTCATGTTTGATGGCAGGAAAGTTGCACTTTTGATCCTTCAACTGTAGTGTCTTTTCTGTTTTTGGCCATTATATTTAAAAGCAACCACTTTTGATACTCTTACAGTCTTAATATTAAAAAGTTTCAACTTTTGATATTGCGTTACAAGTTTAAAAATTTTAATTGTTAATTTCTTGATATATAGAACAACAACATCCAAGTGTTGGTCCAAGAAGATTTTGGGATTAGCTAACATGAATCGATACATGATATCAGAGTCAAAAGGAAATTTCTTGATAAGTAAAAAAAATTATACTACTATAATAAAAGTCATGCACAAAAATATGACCTCTTTAATGTCATACCAATAATAAATTATTGTTGTTGTTGATGGTGCTGAAAGTGACCATGTGGCCATGTGGTTAATATTCTGCCCTTGAGTATCATTTTATTAATATCTTGGAATATGTTCATTTTAAAACGGGAAGCCTGGTGCATGATGGCGACGACTTGCAAGGCGATGTTCTGGAGAAGGGTCCCACCAAAGGGTTTTAACAGGGAAAGCTTTCCCATGCCTGCTTTTGGCAAGAGAGAGCTCTCAGGATTTGAAACCCGTGACATCTCGACCAAACATGAACACCCTTTAAAAAGCCATTTCTTTATTTAACACATAATGTTTCCCCTTGCAGTAAGCCTTTTTTGTCATTGCAACCCTAAGATAAGTTGCTAAATTTCCTTCTTATAGGGTTTGTTTCAAAATTTTCGATTTTTGTTTGAATTTAATCTTGAAACATATAATCATTGATTCACTTGCATTGTTGACCCAAAGCTTTTCATGTTCATTAATCCCTCACATTGACGTTTAGATAGCTTAATCTCTTACGAAAGGCTGAAAGTAGAAAAACACTATAGTAGAAGGTACATAGGTGATTTTTTCCCATTAATAACATAGGCAAGTGAAAAGAGCTGCGACAATACCTCAACATTCTTTAACTCAAATTCTTCATTATTTGCTAAGCATGAGTTCCCAAAAGTCTCACAAGGTCCACTGCTGCCAGACAGCCTTCATAAAAGAAACAGCTACTTATTACTATTTGCGGTGTAGTAACTAGTAACATCACTTTGTCAAGCATTAGTAACAATTAAAAGGCAGCAAAGCTCACAGATCTCCATCCAAGCTTAAAGCGAAATGTTCTCCCCCTCCAAAGGCAAGTTGCTCATTCTTGCACAAAAAGAAATATCTATTGGCACCTAACCAAAAAATAAAGAGAAACTATTAGATTATAAGAAGTGAAACTAAGATATCTCATCCCAACTAGTATATACTACAATCAACATTCAAGAAACTCCAACTAAGGAGAAGGTTATAAATAATTTGCCCACATTAAAGAAGAACGTCATTTTCATTACCGAGGCATGGGTTTGTTTCTTGCTATTTTCCATAAAACTGAACTATTTCTATCTACCTCCAAACAGACATAAAATATTCCGCTTCTGTTTCCAAAACTATTAGGCAATTTTCATTTTAGCTAAAATATGTTTGTAGTCCCTACATATATGATGTATTTTGTTTAAGATCCCTGTAAAACATTTTTTTGTTTCCTATCCCTGTAATATGTACTATTTTCATTTTCATCCATCTTTAACTCTAATACCACTCCTTTTAGTAAAGTAATTACTGACGGTTGCATAAATTTACTCGAAACTTATGAATTTATCCTTTCATAATTTTTTTGAGGCTAATATGAGAGTTAAAACAATGTCAAATTAATCATTAACGTTTTCAAAATAGGTTTTAACAACATTCTAAAAATAAAATTACGTATTTTTTGAATGACATGGCAAAGAATGAGAGGAAATCTATAGGTTTGTTTCGTTGTCAAACGGAGGCAGTGATGATCGGTGAAAGACTAAAAAAAATGCAACGTAAGTTACAAGGATGAAAAAAAAAAATGAAAGGATGTAAAATGAAATGCTTTTACATCATTTGCAATGGAGCCAAAGATTCATTATTTTTTGGCTTGAGATTATGATGGAATAAAGCAAAATGGCTCACTAAACTGTCTGGGCTTCTTTGTTATGGAGCAGCAGTCAGTCCATGCAATTTTGGACGCGATTTTCACTATGGGTCATCCGGAAATAGTTTCTCTGTGCTTTAGTATAGGGGTAAGACTGCGTACATCCGACCCCCCTTACCCCACCGTAGGTGGGAGACTTTGCGGCACTGGGGTAAATGAAAATGAAATGAATGAAAAATGAAATGCACTATATTAAAAAATAACATGCACAAAAAATTAAAAAATACCATGCACAAAAAAAAGCGAAATAAGTGGACCAATATTAGCAAGAAATGACTTGTCGCACACCAAAAGTAGGAAAAAATGAAAGTCGAGGACCAAATTTGAAAATGATCTAATAGTCATGGGGACCAAAATGCTATGCTTTAAAACGAAAATTGCTTCAACTAATGCACTTCCATTCAAATGTAAAATTTTCTAAGATTGAGCTACCCAATTAATGATCTCATGGAGGAACATTCATGGTACATCTTTTATCGTGTTCAAGTTAACGCTTTATATCAACTGATATCATAGTATACTGTGTAGATACTCTTACCAGTTGGTATAAACAGCCTCGGCGCACCATATATAGTTGTAAACACAAATGTTTGATTTGTCCCCTATTAATATTATCATGAGAGTTAGAGGCAAATCTTTCAAGCATGCCAATTTACAATTTTATATATGTAAAATCATCTGAACTTAGGAGGACAAATTTCATGTAATTCAAAGGAGCAACAACCTGATATTTTGCTTTTGCAGTGGGTGTCAAGGGTGCCTCAAGCAATCCACCAAATACAGCACCTTCCTTATCACCCGCAATCTGCGTGAAACAATTTAGTGAAAGTGTGAAATTAAGGACTTGTTTGGTTTGGGTATTTCGGAGGGAGGGGAGCTTATTTTTACTTTATTAATTTATGCCTATATGTTGTAAAATAAAACTATAGATTATAGAAGTTGGAATATTATTAGTTACATCAGGTATTCTATATGGGTTTTTTATTTTCCCCATTTTTAACCCACTAATTTTTGAAATAGTTTAAAAAATAAATATCACCCCTTCCCTCCCCTCCGCTCCAATTTCTCAAACCAATGATCCAAAATGTAACTAAATGGGAGTTACGGGACACTCTATAACAGTCTGGAAAATGGTCTATCTAAAAGGGAAATGTTGAACAGTCTCCCAAATTGGAAAATCTAAAAATGACAAACTAACATTATTATAAATAATTAAATATATTATTAGACGAAGGGAGTCTAAGGGTATTTTGGTAGACATAAGTCCTCAACTTCTAGCTTTTGTACAATTGAAAAAGTCTAATATCTCTTAGTTGTATGCGTGGCACTGTTTAGGAGCTGTTTTAAAATTCTATGGTTTTTAGAAGCTACTCTGAGTACGTTCAGAGAGAAAGTCTCTTGCTTTTAGAATTAATTAGACACAATAACTAGTTATACCAAACAGAACAACATCAAATAGTTAGTTTTTATCAAAAAAACTACAATCTTTTTATTTTAAGATACTTTCAATTGCTAAAAGCTAACAATTACTAAAAACATAAAAAACTATCTTTTGATCTAAATGTGCCAAACATACACTAAAACTTCTAAAATGAGAAAACAAGGAAGCATATGAAAGTGAACCTACTAGCAAACATGGACCAGAAACATCAGTGCTCTTGTGAATGAGTGTACGAAGTGAAATACCATCTCTATCCGTGCTGCCAATCATACAAAAGATTAGAAAGAACATCCAACATAAAAAGTTGCTAAAATGCCCAGTTGCAACTTGCAACAGAAACAACAAACTAGATGAAGGTTACCTGTACAGTAATATCCATTGACACCCTTTGACTATATTAGGAAGCGATGCTTGGAGAAACTCATACAAGTCGGGGGTAATAAAACGAGACTCTTTAATGAGATTAGGCATGGAGCCAAAGTCAACTCCATCATGGGCATCCTCAAAGACTTCACAACCACTAGCAACACTCCTTGCAGAGTTAGGCTCGAGGTTTTCAGCGTAACCATTTAAATTACAGATCCTATTAAATTCACTTTCTCCATTTTCCCTGTAAAAGTTCAGGATATCATCGCAATCGTTCTCAATGTCACAATCATCAAATCTTTCCAAGGGTCTATCTTCCCATTTAAAGCTTCTACTTCTCCATGTAAAAGAAGGTGACTGGACTGGAGTTTTATCTTGCTGATCTTTCGACCTGTCAAAATTTGATGATGGAAGCACATAGTAAAGTAGTGAAGATATAGATTTTCTGTCCTTCGTATCTGGCCCAGCCTAAACATGCAGAAAACCAATGTTAACAAAGTTAACACCTACCAGGTCAAACATGGAACATGAAGAAAACTTGTAATGTTATAGAGAAAAAAGCCATGCACAAACTTTTTTTCATTTTCTCCCTGCAGTCTCTACCTTATTTAGATCAGGAGAATAAAGAATAAAAACAAATTATATTCGTAGTATATTGTTTCATGGTGGATCTATTAATATATCCAGAGTATTTCATAATCACAATAAGTGTTTCAGCAATCACCAAAAGTTAACTGCATCTTTTTATAAATATTACTCCGTACTAACAGTTGGTGCTAAATTGTCCAAATCTTCAAAAGAAATAGGATACTGATGGAAATAGTTCAACAATCAGTTCACATTGACAGTTTGTAGCTCCTAGAAGGATACCTCTGTATTTGCAACTACTGCTTCTGATCATTTTTAGATGTCATTTTAGGTATTTTCCCACTATTTTTTTCTATAATCAAGATAAAAGTATTATCATATGACTAGAACATCAGTATTAATGTTTAGAACACACTATGTGGGCATGTAGCAATGTAGCATTTATGGATCAAGGTGGAAATAGATCAATGATGCACTCGTGGTAAGTTAATATTATATCCTTAAGCGAAAAATATTAGAGAATAGTTTTTTTCCTATTAGTGATTTTTTTTTTTCTTTAGAGCGAAATTTAAAGGAGAAAGGAGAAAAACAGGTCTCAAGCCGGAAAAGTCACAAACAGACTAAATAGTACAAATATAAAGTCAATAAGGAACATACAAGCACACATAGCAGTTACCTTGTCCAATTAATTTGCAAGTTTAACATATTTTAGCATGTAACTCTCATTCAGGGATGCTTCTGTCATTTAGTAGAACCAAAATCAGTGGTACAGAATTTGAAGAAGGAATAGATGGAGGGTATTAGTGAGTGAAATGTTTATAACCATAATGAAACTGATTCTGCCTTTAAGGCTGTTCCTTGAATTGGCATGATCCACTTCTAAATATAAGTTGAGGCACCACAAAGCAAAAACTTGACCCCCACCTCAACCCTAAAAAATGGGTGCTTTTTGATGTTTTGGCAATTCCACAGATGTCAGTCTGAGTACATTGGTGATCCAGTAGAAGATATAGCTCAAAATGCAGATCAAATACAAAGGTTACATTACTACATATTTCATATTATTCGTGACTTACGACAATCATATAATGAATACATAAGCTAGCAAATGAATTTCCGCGCACAGAAGATGTATGTACGGATATTAGCAAGAACTTACCTGAGGTTGATTGTCGACAGTTTGAATTGGAGAATCAGAGAAGAGACGTGAAAGGGTCGCTGAAACTCTGTCTTTTATGGAATGCATCGCTTTCTTTGTTCCCTTTATTCTACTTCTTCTCCGCCTTCCCCCTTTCTGTCTTGTTATTAGTAATGTAGATTACGATTATATATGGATATGGATACAGAAATATGGACCTCCAGAGTGAGTGTAGAATGCACAGATTCAAAATTTTCATTTGACAGATGATGAATTTTGAAATAAAAGAGAGTCGGTCATCCCATGGATCGAAGTCTTCGCGTCAATTTACCTTGCTTGTGCGTGTGGAGGGAGGGAGGGAGGAAGCAACTGTAGAATGCAGAATCTTTGGAGTTTGGTCCGATGTCCATTGATAACAACTTTAAAATGAACAAATGAAAGTATGCTAAAATCCGGCCTCTATAAGTACCGGGAATAGAGCATCACTCTATATCTGTCAAATCTGTCAGATTGAGATTATAGTCTAATTTACATCCTCTCAATGTACCGTCCGGTCGAAGTTGGGGGCCTTCAGGGATGGGGTGTCATCTTTTTTTTAAATGAACAAAAGTGCTTGATGTACACACCCTTATACACACCTTATACACATCAAGTTTGTGAAGGATGTTCACAGACAAAAAGAAAATCTTTCACAAACATAGGTGTGTACAAAAGTGTGTATAAGGGTGTGTACAAAAGGTTTTTTTGTAAAATGAAACACTTGAATCTGTCATGTATAAAATTGGTTAAACAGATTACTTTTAAAATATCAACCATGCTTGACGTACACACACTTGTACACACCTTATACACACCATATTTGTGAAGCTTTTTTTTTTGTCTGTGAACCCGATTCCTAGACAATATTTTGTTTGTGCAAAACATTGTCTGTGAATCGATGTTCACAAACAAAAAAAAGCTTTCACAGACATAGGTGTGTACAAAAGTGTGTATAAGAGTGTGTACAAACATCATTTTTGTTAAAATATACTTCATCAATTCTTATATAAGTGTAATGGTTCACGTTTCACATTTATAGACACACAACTGATCTTAATATGTACTACATTCGTCTCAAATTGATTTGTAAAGTAAACCTTTTTATCGAGGAGTTTGATTTTATTAACTTATTAGGATATCAATATTTAATTATATCCTAATTTGGATTTTGCAAAGTATCTTTAATTATATCTTAATTTGGATTTTGCAACTTTGCAGAGATTTTAATGTATTTTCTGAATATGTAAATTTTAATTATTAAATTTTAAATTAATTATTAATAGAGAGAATTTAACTTTAACATTGATTGACAAAAAATGATGATTCTGCAAATAAATTTAGGACGGATGGGATGATTTTGGGGTCATTTCAAATTAGTAAATGGGAAGGGATTTATGGGTAGGAGAGAATATATTTCACCCGTTCCATAAAATTTGGTCAATTTGTTTTTTTAGTAGTCTATTTTTTTTTTTGTCATTTCCATTTAGAATAACAAATATATAGTTAAAGTAGTTTCTCTCTTGTCTGCACAAATATAAACGACACGATTTTTACATTATTATTTTTATGCAAATTAATTTGGTCAGGTTTTGGGGATGGGGTGAGTATAATTCAGCGTGCTAAATCAATAGTTATGTGTTTGATAAATAAAAATGACTCGTGAAACAAATAAGCTGAAAATATTAGTTACAAAATAGGATCGTAATACTTATATGGTGAAAAGTAAACGTTAAAGTTAGTAATAAAATTTTAAAAGTAAAATGTTTTAAATCTCATAAACTAATCTAAAATTTAACATACGTGAAAAAGTTCTCCACATCAAAAAGCATTGAAATATTTAAACAAATCGTACAAATTGTTTTAGAAACAATTTATTATTTTAAATATATACCATATTTTATGGGAAAATGGTCAGATAGGGCTTCGAACTTACAAAAAATGTCAAATAAGGTCTTATATAGGAGGTTCTGTCCGGCCGACTCCATTTGGGCCGGTTCCCGGTTGAATTTTCCAATGAAACTTTGTGAGCATCTTATTCATTAAGTATAGTTTACTCATACCAATTTTTAGCTACAACTTCAATCGGTAAGGCATTCAAATAAATTATTGAAGATAAGTGCGCAGTTAAAAACGAAGTTATCTTAAAGAATTTATTTGAATGCCTTCCCGATTGAAGTTTTATCTGAATTTTGGTATGAGTAAACTAGACTTAATGAATAAGATGCTCACAAAATGTTATAGAAAAAATCTACCGTGAATCGCCCCAAATGGCATCGGCCGGACAGAAACTCCTATATAAAGCCTTATTTGACATTTTTTGTAAGTTCGAGACCTTATGTGACTCTTTTCTCCATATTTTATTAATCTTAAATGTTAATTATAACTATCCCTTTCTAACATTAACTCGTGTTTACCAAAAATGTTATACAATAAGTATTCATTTATTTGAATTTAATAATTTCTCTAATTGAATTTCAATGCTATTTAGAAGAATTAGAACATGTGGGAGCAAAATGTGCAAGATTGAAAAAAAATCTTTGCTACCATGTATATTGACAATGAATACTGATCAATATGTTGTTGAATATTTTCCGACTTCTACTAATAGTGACATATTACACATACTCTGAACATTAATATTTAATTTCATGTGATGTGGATTGTAATTATTTGTGTCGTTTAATCGACACAAAAGTCATATTCCATTTGCAAAATATTTGTAAACTAAAAAACACCTTTCAACTGCATCTTCTTACCACACTAGCACTGTGAGAAATGTTATAAATCTGATTCTAACTAATAAGTCAATGAATGCATTCTCTCTCTTTTCATAATCAAACAACTTTAGGTTGCACTTTCTCATTTTAATGAGACGTAACTGCATCAAGTACTATACATCTATTTCGAAATTTGATTACTTTTCACAACGATACAGTCGTGTCCTCAACGACCTCATCGTCTTCGATGTACCCCCATATGCCCGAGCTCAGGATACGAGCCTGATGTTCATGCAGAGGGAGATCCACCTCGGTCTTCGAGTTCTTCATGCAGGGCGAGAGGTCAAGCTTATCCGGCTTCGTGCTCTGGAACCTGCGGCCTCCTTCTTCAAGAACGCATCCCCGTCTAGCGTGTTTTTTACCCAACTATCAAACCGCACAAAAACAACGTCAAAGGACCAACGACGATGTTCATCGGCCTTCCAGACTTTTTCCATGAACCCCCTCAATGGCAGTCTCAGCGGCGCGTTCGGCACCCGCCTTGAGCTTCTCCACATCAGCAACCCGCTTCTCGACTTCAGTCCTCAGCTTGGCCACCTCGTCACATATGGGCGTTCTCCACTTCGGACTTCGCCTACTCCACAACATCAAGGTGGGTGTGGAGATTAGTCTCCCTTTTTTCTGCAACGCGGGGGGGGGGCTCAGCCTTGATCCCCTTCCAGAGTGAGATCCTCAATGATGACTGCATCATCCCCTCCCGGTCGATCTGCGGCATCCTAAGCAGCATCACCAGAACTACCTCATGGCTGAGGTTCCGTCCTCTCAACGGCTTTCATCCCGCCTCATGAGGGTCTTCTACCCCTCGACCCCAATGGGTCTCTTCTTCTTCTTGAGCCGTCAACTCCAGCATCTGACGCCGTCTTTGAAGCGTCGCCAGCAGATTTCTGCTTGCCAACTTCCGCCTCGGCTTGAGCAGCCTTCAAGTCGACTATCACCTTCATTTTGGTATGAGCCATGAAAGATAGTCGATTCATATCGAACTGTGCATAATTGCTTCAAATCATAGTAGAGTGCAAAGGGTGTCTTGCTGGTTGCTTGCCTCAACATGGTGTTGTAGCCCTAGAGTATATTATGCAGTTCATCTACCCAACTACCACCCTCAACTTCGAGCTTCTTTAATTTTTAGGCCCTCATTTATAGTTTTGTTTGCGCTCTCAACATGCTCGTTGCCTTGAAGACAAGCAATAGAGGAGAAATTGTGTTTTATGTCCCAAGCCGTCACGAGTTCTTGGAAAGGGGCACCTTGAATTGTGGCCGTTATTCGAGATGATCCGGTGAGGGACACTAAAACGAATGAGGATGTTCTTGAGGATGAAACTCTAACACCTCACATCGGTGATACATGCTAATGGTTTAACCTCTGTCCACTTTTGTGAAGTAGCTTATGGTGTCGATGATGTACTTGTTGTTGCTCACCCACCAGCAGAGTGTACTTTTTGTACCTCTATAATATTTTTCAGATTTATATATGTTTGTATTTTATTGATTTTTTAGATTTCTACAAATAAGTGTTTTTTTTTGAATTTTTACCTTTTTTTTACTTTTCCCCTTTTAGAATACTTTACGCTTTTTTTTGCTATTTTAAATCTATTTTGGATTAATAAAGCATGTTTGCTCAATTTTTGAAAAACTTTACTCCGTACATTTTTTTAGCATTTTTATTATTCTCAATTTATGATTTACCTTAGTGGTGTACTAAGTTGAGGTCACACAGAAAGGAGAGATGAACTTATTATTCTCGGTACATTTTTTTGCATTACTATTCTCCGCCAATAGTAATGTAATGATCCAAATTATCTGATGGTGTTAACAACGCTCAAAGATTCTTGTACATGTATGATTAAGTGGATTGTTCTTATCTTCTGGTTGATTTTGTTCTATGGCGGTTCTTTCCCAAGCACTAGTGTTTTGTCTCTTTCGATGTAGGGAGTTTTCTTGGTGTCTGAACTTGTTTCGTCTGATCAAGGGTTTATGTCTGCCTTCTTCTGGAGTGCGCAGACATTAGTGGAGCTCGTCCTCCTCCATATACACCTCCGTGCCATGAAGAATTTTGTGGAAAGACTATTTCAATTTTATTTTTTCATTAGTAGTACTTGTTTTTATTTTAGTTTGAGTATGTTTCGTTTGGATATTTGGACATCCGATGTACGTTTGATAGACAATATTTCAATCCCAATTATTTTAGGCTTTAAATTGCTCGTGTCATGTATAACGAGCCAGGTTGATTTGTCTGAGGTGGCTAATCTATGTCTATTTCAATGGCTCACAATCGAATTTGTATAAGTGTCTAGATGTTATCTTGTATTTTTTCTCGATTTTAATATAAAAAGCCGATCTTTTATATTAATTAAAAAAAATAAGTTGAGACCATATGTAGAGACCACATGAGACAGTACAAAGGTTGAAAAGAAAATTTCGACTAATCTTTTTTGGATAAAAACTTTGAAAAATGAAAAAAACCGACACTCGTATTTCCTTCTCGGACTATTTGTAAAAAATTCTCAAAACATATTATGTTAAATTTGAGCCCATCGTAGCCTATAAACGTAGTACTCCCTCCGTCCCAGAA